ATATTTGCTTCGTTCATAAACACTACTACATATTGCTCTACTATTCATTCGTTAGTATATATTCCATTAGTCACATGTATAAAAATATATTCTATTAAACATTCTTTTTTTGAATTATCATCAAGATAATGTTTTACATCCCGTGCGTGCAAGCAATTGTCAGTTCTAGGGTATCACGTGTTCAAGTACTGAGATGAATGATTTTTGTTTTATTTCTTATTTTTCGTTTCAACAAAGAGAATGAAGGAAACGTACAATATTCTAGAATTTTTATGTAACACTACAAGAATTTCTCACGATAACGATCAGTGCGTGTTGGTGGAGACCAGGCAATATGACGTGCATAGCCAAGGTACCATAGCATCGTTGCTATATGTGAGCAACATCCTAACTGTCTCACACCGCACTTGCATTGACAGTAATGATCTTTTATGGGATCATTAGAATCGCTTTTGTCAAATTGTATACATAAAAAATACAAAGTTGTACTTGAATGTTTACTATGTAATCGACAACGCAGAAAAGAATCATCAGAAGAAGAAACTTGAAATTGAAATTCGCCATCATTATCATACAAATGTGCCTTGGCATATGTGGGACTTTGTTTGATTTGGTAAATGCCACATGTATAATCCCGAAGAAAATCAAGTGTAAGAAAAGGAAAATCAATATCAAAATCAATATCAAGTATGTTTTTCCAATTTTTTCTTAAAGAGAAATCACCATTAGAAATTAACTGTTCTAAATTACTTGTTCGATCTTTTAATAGAAACATCTTATTGGCTAAAGTAAAATCTTCAGTTGACTTTCCATAATAAATTCGAGGTTTATACTTATTTAAACTACCAGCTAAAGTTTTAACTAGTATATCAATATTAAGAAGAAAGTCTTGACTGATGCGTTCTGAAAAGAAACGCCATTTTTTAAATTGCGAGTGAAAAGATTCAACTACCCATCTTGTTTTCGTTATCATTCGTGTTTCATTGGCTTGTTCTATATCAAGTTGTTTAGCACCTTTTCGTAGGAATCCCGGCATCTTTACATCAAATCCTAAGTCCTCGAATGTATCTGCTACATCTCGAAATCCACGATCAACTATATGTATGTCACCGGGTTCACATATCATTGACAAATTATCATGCAGCTCGAGAATGGCCTTAAAGATAAGAAAATAAATGTTAGATTTCATTATATAAAAAGAATAATCTTTAAATAGAAGAAATTTTCTGAAGTGTTTAGAATAATCAGCATCATAAGAATTAAATAACAGGCAATGAGGGATAAAAACCAATGATCAAAGTAAATATATCTCTTTCTTTTTGAATAAAATGCTTTTTTGGATCCAGGAAAAAATGAATAACTGATTAGAGTAAACAATAGAACGATTTCAAGTGAAAATATTTACATTACATAAAGACAAAGTCAGTCATTTGAAAACTTTTCTTTGCAGTACATTTTTTTCCAATTCATGGCTTAAAAAAATATAAATAATTTTGTTCTTATGTCATCCATAGACAATGTTAAGGAAAAGAGGTTAAAATCATCCATTTACATCTACAAGTTTCTACTGATATCAGCAAATGCTAAAAGTACATAGATGTGAACGATATTTTTTTTTCTTAAGAAGTAATAATTGAAATTTTTTTTCTACATTGAAATATATAGTTTTCTTATAGCCATAATAAAATATTTAAGACATCGCAACAAAATAAACAGCTGTTTTGTAGATATCCTGGAACAGTTTAGTATATATCAGTTCTCAACAGTCAGCAAATTCTTTGTTTTCTTTTGAATATACCCTACTACTATTGTGTTACAAGTAGTTTACTTAGAATAGAGAACGCAGTTCTGTATTCATTTTCAAGGATACGAAATACTTATCAATTCAAACAAGTCATCTAGCTCAAGATGGAGAAAAAACTATACCTTCGATATTTTTGCATCATTATCTTTTCCTTTGAATGGTCCAATTAAATCTAATATATAGCCATCAGGTAAAACTATAGACATGAATTTGACTAGATGACGAGATTTTTGACCGGAATAAGTATCTTGTTGTAATTTATGATCCTCACTTTTATTACAATATATGTAGGTTCCATCCCATATTAAAGATAAACTGTTCCCAAAAAATGTTGCAGTATAAGCAGTATGATGTGCAATAGCGTTGGCACGTGAAAGATGATTAAATCCCAAGTACGATGGAACTAACGCATCATATAAATAACTAGAGACTTTATGGAATGTATCTTCTACTCTCCTGCGGATATTTTCATCTGTTGTTTCAATTTTAAAGAGAGTTCCAATTTGTCTAAACGAAAGATTTGTCTTCAACTTTGTCCAATACATACAAATGCCTTCAAATGGCTGTCTATGTTTTGACTTATGCATACGAGGACTAATGAGTGAAGTCATATCTTTTAATTGATTTAAATTCCAACCTGTCCACACCTGATAATCATCATCAGTAATTATAGAGTCATCTTCGACGAGTAAAGGCATACGCTTAATACGATTAACTTCGACAATCAAATCATTTATAAGTAAAGATATCTGGTTACAAGTAAGATAAGTCGGCTCATTAAATCTTTCAACAGGAATATCAACACATCCACTTTTGCAACGTTTAGCATTTTGCGAAGAAAAGATACGATAATCACAAAGTAATAACATTCGTTCAGCTTTTGATAATTGTTTTGTTTCAGTGCCTCCTTTAAGGCACCAACTACAATAATCTATATCATTTTCATCACCATAAACTCCTTCAATATTTATCAAATTATCGAATGTATGATTATGTATTTCATTACTGTTAACATTAACATCTTCTTGATCAACTAATAACGATGAGTCACTTTCTGAGGTGTTACGTGCTTTTTTTTCTTTATACAAACTAGTAGAACATTTTCTACAGATAAACATATCCACCTCAAGCTCACTTCCACGTTGTTCAAGAAGTTGATGAATCCATTGATATTTCTTTGAAGAGATATTTCTCCATGATTTAGCTACAGACACTGTATGTTTCTTGGCATTTTTTCTACACCAAATACAAGAAACTAGCTTGTATCGCATCGTAAATAAACTAAAATGAACATACGCTCACACAGGAGAAAGAAAAAAAATACCCATAATAGTCTATGGCCTCGAGGGATATTAATCGCTATGAATGCCTCGACACTTTCTACTTTACACACTTCCAGGGTCACGAATTTAAATCATGTCAGATATAACTCTGGCTTGGTACAAAGCTTCACATTTATCACAATTCAAAAAAAGAATGTTTAATAGAATATATTTTTATACATGTGACTAATGGAATATATACTAACGAATGAATAGTAGAGCAATATGTAGTAGTGTTTATGAACGAAGCAAATATATATTAGCTTTTTTGTTGTTTACATATATTAAGGAAAATGTAGTTTTCAAATTATATTAAAAAAGGAATTTTTTCAAAATAATAATACATGATAAAGTATTGATTTTATATTCTTTTATTATTTTCTTCTATATCAAATTAATGTACTGGAAAAAGGCTATAACAAAAAAAAAAGAATGCTTATTCTACTTGTTGAAGTACGGTTCTTAAAAAGCTTTTTACTTCGTTTATATCAAGTCTTAACTGAATTTGCTGAAAAATTCTGTGTATTATTAGACAATGTAGAAAATTAGAATATATATATACTGTTTCATTATTTTAACAATTTATTAAAAATAAGTGTTTCCAGAAAATATTTACTTCATTTGTTTATTGTTATTGAAGAAAAGGATTACTTATAATAAAAAAAGTAAAATATATGTGTTTTTATTATGTATCTGTTGTAAAAATGTAATTTTGAAAAGTGTAATATGAAGTTTCAACCACAAGAGAAAAGTTGAAGACTTTCAGATATTCTTATTCTTTTAGACATTCAAGAAAAAGTGTATCGAAAATTGATTAGTATGGAACAGTCTTATCTCCTACTTGCTGATTTTTAAGTTACATAGAATACTCAGAAAGTTTAGTAATAATAGTTATAAGAAAAACTTTAAAAAAACATACAAAATAGTTTCTACAAAGTTTTAAAAATTTGTAAGGTTGTTATAATGTAAGCTATGTTTCTCCACAGCCCCTTCGATTTTCAATATGGTTTTTATGGCGATTAATAGACCTTGATTATGTGCAATTTCTGAGAAAAAATCACGTTGCTGCCACAAAGTCTTATAGGATAACGATAGACCACAAAAATATCAAAAAAATTAAAATTCTTAATTTTTGTGATTTTTCGATTAAATGTTTATATTTTTTCAAGCAATTTTGTTTATAATTAAAAAAATGAAATAAGCCAAAATGTAGAGCGAAGAGAGCTCTACAAAACTGTATAACCAATACTTGTGCTCGTGACGAATAATAAGGGCTATTTTCATATCATAAGCTAAACTCTTAGATCTAAATATTGATACTACCCCTTCGATATTTTATATAGAACAAAATCCTAAAATTGAATAGGAAACATTTTAATTTATATACCACTAGATGTAACTTTTCAAGCTCTACAAAACCGTGTATTCTGTTTTTCAAAACGGATAGGTCGATGAAATCCGACAGGGTCCTTTCTCTGTCCAACTGCCCACTACCAC